ATGCCTAATTCCAGGTAAAATCCAATGACATGGGAAAGCAACACTAGTATGTGAGATGCCCCTATGGTGGGCTTACAGGACGATTCACCTGGCTAGGGAAATCACCATGTACCCAAGCTCTAACACGGTAGGCAGCGTGCACCCTCCAGCCTGCATCACTGCCTCCTCTCCGCAGAGATTCTGGCTGCGAGTGGGGAGCAGCTCTACACCAGTAAAAGAGAGGGGTGGGACAGCGCAGTTTAAACACTGGCAGGGTTTAGCAAACAATACTCCACAAGCAGGAGAATTTGAACGGATGAAAGGTAATTACCCCTGGTAATTAAGGCAACCATAACAAAAGCGTCATACACTTGCATGAAAATTTTCATACAACGTCTAACTCACCTACCCAAACAGGCTCCACAGATAAACGAGTGTGTTTTAAAATGCAGCTTTAGCTTTCCTTTGCAGATTTATCTCTAAGGTGATGCCCCAGCCTGGCTTTCATTTATAATGTCAGAAGTATACTGCCAAATGCAGTGCTTCTAGTTTAGTCTCTCCTCTGTTACACTCATTGACTAAAACCAGCTGCTGCTTCTTCATCTCCTTATTTATAGCTGGAGCCACCCGAACCTCCAGGTAACTGTGGGACAAGGAAGATGAATTTGCAGCTCATTAGATAGGACCCCCAGAAAAAACCCCCACCTATTTATAATAGACTCATTTCTTGTAAGCAGTAAACCAGCATGGATTAAAACCCCACCCTACTACACAGCGTTATAGGTTATCCAATGTTGCACACCGGTGAAGTACTGCAAGCTAAGTTCTCCAGACAAGATCATCTTTGCTCTCTGTAATGCAGAAGCCCATCTCCACAGCAGTTACACTAGACATGAAATTGCCCTTCCTCACCTTCCTATACTGTAGTAATTTCTGCAACTAAAATCTTTTCACAGATGTATTACCTCTCAATTGCAGATCCCAATTTCATTCCGGTGCCAGGAAGTCAAACTGAAGGGCTGGAAGAAGAATTCTCAAACCACAGTATGTGCTTGAAGTTACTCTGCTTGCCATTCTTTTACCTCTCAGTCACTAATCAGAAAAAGAGATGGAGTTTTTAGCTGCTATTTTAACATGATAAGCTATGGAGACTAGCTCTAGTGAAAGCACTGTTTGAGAAAGCTTTAGCACAACTACCTTTCATGTATTGGCTTAAATGGGGGCTTTTGCTGTAACAGTACGTGAATGCTCTAGAAAAAGCAGCCAAAAGTTTCAAAGTTGTACGCTGGCTGGTGACCAGTGGTACCCAGCGAGAATGTCAGCTGGTGCGGAGCGTTCAAGCTTTCGACAGCATGGATGCTTACCTCCTAGCTCTGCTGTGTGGATTCACAGGGAAGCACACCATGCTCACAAGTCTTAACAGGAAAAAAAATCAAGTCAAAAGGCTACTTCAGAGCAGCTACCCAGTAGCTTTGAGAATATTATGATGATAATATTGAGAATAATATCTCAATATTATTATCAATATTATTATATTGAGAATATATTGAGAATATTATGATAATATTATTATTAATAAATCTACTTATTATTATAAGTAGGCTTGTATCTCAGGCACTCCATCCTGACAACCTAAGGATCCAAGAAGGACCCTTTCCTCACCCTCTGTGAAACGGTGTGGCTTGCAGTGCTATCAAATACCTTCTAGCAACCGGCTCTTCATTACAGCCCTGAAAGACAGTCATCTTTACATTAGTTCTCAGCACTGAATGAATAAGCAGTTGCTTTACAGGACTTAAGCTTAGAAAGCCTTGGACTGAAAGGTCAAAGTTAACCCTGGAGGGTAAGAGGCCCCCAGGATGGCACTGTTTGGATATACCAGTTTCTGCAACTCTCAGTGTACACTCTGAAACCTATAGCTCCGATTAGCAGGTGTTTATTTACAGCAACGGCAGTTAAAGGGGGCCCTCAGCAACAAGCTATCTATGCCTCTGATTCCTTAGTGAAGCACCTCAACTGCTTTTTCACCCTCTCCTTTTATGAACTCAATTGGCTTGAAAGGAGTCATTATTCCAGAACATTTTTATGGCCTGGGGAGGTTTTAAGTGACGACTGTTTTCCTGCCACCATGGCTAGTGCGTGGCTGAAGTTCTGTTAATATTAAAATATATTTGGTTTTCAACACTGTTGAAAAAAATCCTTGCAAAGAAACGGCGTGTTTAGGTGCTATAAATCAACAACTCCCCCTAAATGGAAGTACAAAAATTTCAGAGCAGAAAGTACACCGGTGTCCTCAGGGCTCACAGGTCTTGTAAGAACACCCGTCACCTGGTCGCTGCACTCCGTTGCATGACTTTGTTTTTCTGAATCTTGTGATTAGTGTCAACACCAGTGGATGCAAGAGAAATGTTGGAAGTCATTCAAAATCATGAGGCATTACTGGATGATCTTCAAAGTGATATTCATCAAGCAGTCAGCAACTTAGGTGACTTACAGAGAATATTTGAAACCAACGGTACGAGCATGGTGTTAGAAGTGAACCAGAGCAATTCAGGTGAGAGGTCTGACACAGAATTATCAGTCTGACAACAGGCCCTGCAAAACCACGCAGATCACACTGAAAATCTGAAAACAAAAATACCCTGATATTCCTTGGTCTGCTGCTTGTTTCTAAAGAGGGCAAAAATGGACGTAAGTCCAATAAAAATGAATGAGCCAAATTCAAGAGTAACTTGAAGTGGGAAATGAGATAGAAGGGAGATTCCTTAGCACTTTGCTGGAATTTAAGAATATGCTTTAACCACAGAATAGAGAGGCTGCTTATAGTTATTTGTTAGCTTGCTACTCTGCTTCTACAGGTTTTCTTCTATGGGGATGCAGAGTTTAGGTTTGAGCTTTGTTCTTTTTTTCCTATTCATGTGGTATACTCTGATGTACTAAATATATCAGACTGCTGTATGTATCAAAAGGCAACATTCGACCCTTCTCTGAAACATTATTCCTGCCCTATATTACAGTGGATAACAAAGAGCTATGGAATTTGACCTACTAATGCGAGCCATTAGCTCACAGAAACATTTTCTAATGATACAGAACTACTGTTCTCAGTGAACGTCAAGGCTTCCAGTTCAAATGTTAATGTTAAAAATCAAGCCGTGGAATAATTCATACCTAGTATGGATACTTCACAGATTTTAAGTTATTTAGTCCTGGCCTTGAATACACAGCTATTAACATGTTGTGTAACTTTGTGAAGTGGTACACTGCAGAAAGCATCAGAAAAAGAATGTGAGACAGTCAAATAAGCAAGACCCCACCAACTAAGAACTGTTGTGAAAATGTGCAGTTAAGCCACTCATGAAACTGCTTGTCCACAGGTTTCAAAATGCAGTATTTTTATGACTTAAATGAGGCAGTCAATACAGACTGAAGTTATTGCCTGCAGACACAAGGACAAGGTGGTTTGCAGCAGTCTTGATTTGTAACTGTAAAAATTTAGCCTGTGCTCAGATGTGGGGGAGTAAGATGGCAGTTATTGTAGAAAAACAGGCAGTTGAGTTACACTGGTCAGATTAAGATGCTTTCCTAAAGCAGAATTTATTTATTTATTTACTACTATGTTAACAGATCTACAGGAAAGGCTTCTGCAGCAAGTTTTGTTTCCCCATGTGGAGAATTTTCTAAGGAAACATTTTAACCCAATGTGGGCAAGCTTCAACCGAAGCTTGCAGAACCTCTCGAACATGGTAAGAAACCTGTCCCATGACGTGGAAAACAACAAGCAAAGCATAGAAAGACTCCAAGAGAGCTCTGTGCCCAGGAAGGAATTCCAGGAGCTGGGAACTAAGTTTGAATCAAAAGTCCAGGAAAACGTAGTGAAAGTCGATCAGGTGAAAAGAGATATAGAGAATCAATTGCAAATGCAACAGGCCAGCATTCGCTATAATCTCACCATGATCAAGGCAGATACTGACACAAAGCTCAAGAAGTTCCACAAGGTACAGCAATCTCATTTCTTAGCTTTGAACAACAGCATAGCAAATGTGAAACAAGAGCAACACAACCTTGAAAATAAATTTGAGACTTTGAAAAAAAATTTAACAGAACTGTCCTCACATCATGGTCCCAAGGATGAAAATACTCAGTTAGCCATCAGACAAATAAACGATATTTTGGGAGGGCATACAAAGCAGCTGAAAGAACTTTACATGGAGTCAGATGTGGCCTTTCAGAATATTGAAGTTTTAGAGAGGTGGTTTAAGGAGTTAAAAAAAAATATCTCAAAGTACAGGTCAGAAGATCTTACAGTAACTTTAATGGAAAAATCCCTTCTTATGGAAGAAAACAAAGCAGCAATGGAAAGGCAGATGGCAGAGCTCAACTACACTCTCTCAAATCTTCGGGAAAACTATTCAGATCTGCTGAGGTACATGGAGGAATGTAATTGCCAGAAAATACCTTCTGATGCTGATGTACTGGAGGAAGATTTGAAGAATATCACATACTCCCTTGAGGGCACCCAATCAAGCTTAAAGGATATGAAGCACTTGGAGTCAGTTTTCAGAGAGCTCTTGAGGAATGAAATCGAAGAGCTCACCTCAGCTTTTCCATCTATCCATCAGTCCCTTAATCTCCGTCAAGAAGAGAACAGACAGCTTCAGTCACAGGTTATGGCTTTTTCAGACGACATAGGCTTCTTGAAGAAGAAAGATGAAGAAATCCATAGACACATCAGGTATCTCAACAGTTCCTTTGGGTCTCTCTTGGAAGATGCCATGCGGCATGAAGCAGCACTGGAGGCTTTACTGGGAGAAGAATTTATGGAAGTCTTGTTTGAAGAAAATCCTAGCATCCTAATAACGTCAGTGTTTCAGCTGCAAGAATCTCTCAGACATATCTCAGACAAGCTTCAAAACCAAAATGTGACTTTAGAATCTCTTATGAAGAGACTCCATCTCTCAGAGAGAGGACAACAAAATCATCAGGATGCCCGTACACCTCCTAAGCATCCCAAAGAAGAAACGCAAACATCCTCTACTCTAGATGAAGTCAGCAGTCAACGCAGCATCGTAGAACACATGGAACCTAACTATGAGGCTGCCAAAGATGACTCCTTGGATAGCTCAGCTTACAATGATATCATGACTTTGAAGAATGACATCAAACACCTGAGCCTGGCAATCAAGAGGGCCGAATCCAGAAGTGACATCAATCGCTGCTGCAATCATACAATAGCAAACGTAATCGAGCCGCTCAACATCTCTGTGGAAGTTCTCTCCGCGGATTTAGCCACCATCAAGCAGAAGCTGGAGGAACACCTGCTGATTTTTAAAAAGTTATTCGGAAGCAATGAAGAACTAGTCGTCTCAAATGTAAGTCTGGACGTAACAAAGATTCAGTCAATGCTGACTAGGAAAGTGAGAAGGCAGCACAAAGGTCAGGATAAGCAAAGAGACAAGAGAAAGCCTGAGAAGCACCGAGAAAATATGCAGACAATAAGTGGAAGAAATACAGTGCAGACAGAACTTTTGGAAAAAGGTGGGTTCTTTTCTTTTACTTGCTCACGTGCAGGCCTAGCTTCTTTCCGGACCCTGCTGAAGTTCCACACACACAGAGAGCATATGAACTGTGAGACCTGTCAGACATCTTGTGGGATGCTGCAGGGAGAAATTCTGACATCATTTACATCTTCCCCCACCCTCAAAATCAGCAGTTTGAGTGAAAATCAAGTTGATACACTGCTGCACTTTGCTTGAAGCCAATAAAATTACACTCACTACAGGTGGTGGGGAACAGGCCTTGAACTAACTTAACTGTAGATGTTTAGAACACATATTTTGTTCGTAGATGCTCCTGTTAATGTAGCAGCAGTTTTGTCTTTTGAAGCTGATGGAGAGTGCTGGCTTCCTGATCTTGCTTCTTTGTCCTCTGTTATTTGAGTCTGGAAGGAGCGTACTCAAACCACCAAATCCTTCCTAATGTGCACAGAAACATTAACGGCCGTAATTTGCATAAGTGGATCAGGGAGGGCTGACTAGGTTGCACACTCTCTCTTATGGCTAAGCTTCAGAGACAAGTTTTTGGATTATACTTCACTGTGACTGCCCAGTTCCCTTTCCCTGCAAACATGTGGCCATAAGCACCCGGTAGTTACAACCACCACAGAACTATTTGATTTAATCCCAGACACACTGTCATTTCAAGCATTTAGCTCTATAACGGAGCAGACAGAAATCAGGCATGACAGGGCTTGACCCAATCTCCCACCCTGACGATCCTGGGTACAAGAGTGCTCACTGCTAACATCCCGTTCCTCTTTCTTTTTCAGACTCACTGGTGGCATTCCATGTGGGATTCTCAGAAAGAAAGGATAAAGAAAAGACTCTGAGGTTTAATGAAACTTACCTCAATTATGGAAACAGCTATTTCCCTGAACACGGCTACTTCAAAGCACCGCATAAAGGTGTCTACCTGTTTGTCATCTCCGTGGAGTTTAGCACAGGACCAGCATTAGGACAACTCTCCTTTAGCCGTGGGTACAAAAGAACTCTGTCGAGTAGCCAGAGGAGAACACCAAATGGAAACACCATGACTACTTTTGCTATGGCAGAAATGGAGAAGGGGGAGAGAGTATGCTTTGAATTGCTGCAGGGCTCTGTAGTGAAACGGAGTCCCCCTGGGACAACAATGGGTGGATTTCTACTATTTAAAACTTGAACAGGGACATTTTGTTTTATTGATGTCCTTCCATAGATGCAATGGATCCATTCACTATTGCTTCATCTGTGATGTATTCAATCCTACTGCATGTGTTTAAACATAGCACTACCCTAGATTTGTCTTCATGCTTCTTTTCTGGAAGTGTTTGGCTTTTGATTAGTTGCTTATGAGCAGCAATGGGATTTTCTTTCAAGTGATAAGCTAACGGTTTGGACTCCAAATGTATCAGCACACACGCCCAAATCCTCCTTCCACTGTGACAACTGCACATCATTAGAAAAAAAGCTCTGTGGGACTTCCCTCACAACACAAATAACTTCTCCCTTCCCCTCCCATGACAAACACCTCCACCACTGGCAAGGAAAAGATTTTAGGTAGCAATGTATGTATCAACTCTCGTATTTTGTGAATAGTAGCTTAAAACCAAGAAGCCAGGATAATTTTAGCTTTTAGTGCTCTGTGGACCACAGGCAGCCACACACTGCCTTGGAAACTTCTGCATCTCACTCCAATTCAGTATTTCAGTCTGTGCACAGTATGAACACTAGAAGATCAAACCCAGTAAGACGCACCCTCTCCTAATATTTGTAAGTAAGGATCTTAGAAACGGCCCAGACCTTTTGCTTCTGGGCCTGTCTTGTACTTCAACTACACTGCAAAAATTTAATAGTAACATAATATTGTTAAGATGAATTACATCTACATTTAGACATTAGGAAAGTGTCAACAACATTCCAAAAATACTGGTGAAAATTCAGGTTTATTTCTAAAGATAAAACAGAAGAATATAATGAATTCAGCCGGGAGTTCAGCATTTAGTAAATAGTTTCAAACCAACCAAGCAAGCAAATAAAACTAACAGCAAAATGGCAAGCTCACTGGTATAAATTTATGATTAGAGTGAACCAAAGAGTAGAATTTCTGAACAGTGGCATTTTTTTGAACTTCAAAAATCTCAAGATGACCATGTCCAGTCACATCCTAAACTTTTGTCCTGTTAAATAAAATATCACACAGGCTTTCATTTTAAAAAAGGTCAATTATTGTGGTATTTTTCTGTGTCTATCCTAATACTTTACAAAACAATATTAAAACAATTAAATTTGCCAAAATTATATATATTTAGCAACTCCCAATATTTTGAGAAGGGTATATTTATCTTATGTATTTTTTGCGCTTTTAAGATAGCACTGTCTAACAGGAATCCATCCTGCTGTTAAGGGGTTTTCTCCCCACCTATGTGTACTGTAAGCAACACTAAACTACAAATTAAAAACCACATGGGTACCAATACACACTGTACCTAAGACAAGAGTTTGACAAGCAGACAGTATTTACCTTTTGAAATAAAAGCTACAGAGCAGTCTTAGCTATGGACTTGCTGAGAAGGTTGTTAATTCTCCATCCTGAAAAAATGACACACCCCCTCTTCAGCCCGTGCCAATTCTGCGACTACCAGCCAAGTCCCACAGATAGACACAATTAAATACACACTTTGCTTGTTTTTAAAGCTTTGATAGAAAGCTTGAACTGGAATGAAAGCCATACAGCTACTTGGAAAAGCAGATGGTAGGCAGTAGATAGGATAGCGGTTCATCCAGACAGGACCATTAACGGTTTGGAATCCTTATGCTTACCAGAGTTTACTTTTATGGAAGAAGAAGCCGGGCAAATTCAGAGATGATGAACTCCAGAGTGAACACAGTGTTAGCATAAAGATGTTTTCATATTTATATTCTTCAAATATGTGCTTAAGTTAGCCACCTGCATATACAAAGAAAACATACTTGACTGGAACACCGTCATTTTTAGATCATGAAGCAAAAACTTAAAGATAATGGGTTAAACCATTCTATTGGCTCCATAAGCCAGGAAACCCGATTTCCTCCTCAAGCAACAAGAGAGAAGATGATTAAGCTACAGGCTTGTGGTGGGTTTTTTTGTTTTTGTTTGTTTTTTAAATGACTACATCAGCTTTTTAATAACTTTCTAGCTAAACTATCTCTCAAATACAAGCAAACTATTTGAATACTGGTATAAATTTCTTTAAAACTCCCCACAAACACTTGTTGGCTGATTGTGGGTTTTTGGGAAGTTTTTGTTGGTTATTTTATAAGATTTAACACAGCCACATCACCACCACCTGCATTTTTAGGCAACAGTCTAGACGAAGCCATTTTAATGAACAGACAGCAAATTCCAGATCAGGACCTCAAGGAAAGAACTATTTCCCATGAAAACAGCAAGAGGACAAGGATGATGGATTGACAGTTTTTAAAAAAAGCTATCGGTTGGCTCGGTGGACTAAGAATAGGGGATTTTTACACATGTAAACCAAAGTGGACTTGACCGTAGGCATTAGGAAAAGAGAGTTGTCTGTAAGAGTGGACAAGTTGCTTCAGCTCAGCTCACAGCAGACCAACTAGGCTAGCATGCTGGATGGCAGCTTCAGCCAAGCACCAACGGGCACAGAAACACGTATGCTCACTCCAAGATCTAGATATTGTCAGCGTGAGCTTCATATTTAAAAAAAAAATACCTTCCAACTTCTCTTAGTACTTCCCAAAAATCCTGTAACTACCAGAAAACGTTGCTGATAGCTCAGGTTTCTGGATTTCCAGATCAAGTCACTGGGCTTTATAAAAGATAAAAAAGCTGTGCATCTTAATAACTTCACATCATTATTTTGTTCCTGAAACTTTTACTGCTTTATGAATGTCAGTATCTTATGGTGCTTTACATTTTAAAATTGAAGTCCCCTATTGTTTTTCTTTTACATTACTAAGACGATTTCCTTGTACATCAACAATTCTGCTTTCCATCAGTGCCTGAATTCTGCAGATTCATCTGAACCCATTTCAGATATCCCCATCAAGCCAGTCTCTGAAGTCCACGGTGGTCACCGCGCATGAAACAGATTCATGAGGTGGTCAGCCCACAGCAGTGGTCCTCTCCTGACTCAGATTCATGGCTGCTATGGACTCACTACATTCACATCAGTGAGAAAGACTGAAGTGGGGAGAGGTGAAGATAAAGCTGCAGAAGGGATTAATGGAATTAAATCTGATCCTTTATGAAATTAGTGATACTTCTGCAATTTATTTAAAAGCTTGTGATTCAGTTTCACCAACTACTCAGGCTGCTTTCAGGCTTGCACACCTAATACATATGTGGGGTTTTTACACGTCACTGGATATAGCTGTTTCAGTTCTTAAATACTGATGCAAGCTCATCAGTAATACTTTTTTTATATAGAGGTCAAAAATAATCATGCATAAATTATAACATTTTTATATTTATTATTACCAGACAGTAGAATTTATTTTCATTTATCAAAACCCCCCCGTGTTTGCAAAAGGATCTTCATAACTTTAGGACATAGCACCATCCTGTGGTCATTTCAAGAAGCCACATTAGAGGAGGAGAAATTTAGTGCTCATCAAAACAAAGACTGGTGCAGTTTCAGTTACCCAGTGTTTTCATTTCGTCCTCCTGTAACACCAATATAAACCCCCCAGTTTCCAATTCAGCCACCATCAGTGTAATCAATGAAGATATTCTACATACCACACAGTAGCCACAACGGTAAGAAAAAGTTTACATTGCCAAGACACTAATTGTAAGGAGAATAAATTGTTGTGCAGTGTAATTTCCTGGTATTATCCAGTGAGGAAAAAAAGCTTTAACACTACATACATTCTGGTCTCCCACTGTACTTTCAAGAACTCTAATGCAAGAATTTAACACTTGACTTTACAGGAGGGGGAAAAAAAAAAAGTGTTATGATTGTAACTTAATAACACACTGGTAACAGTTTATGGGATGCTCAGATATCAAAACTTCCCAGCTATTGTAAAAAACTATCCTTCAAGCTAAGATTATTCCTAATCAAAGCAAAAGAGAGAATAGAAATTGATCTTACTTCTTGCTGCTTGCAAACTGGATGCAAACTCTAGGAAAAGCAGTAACATACATTCCTGCAATGAGAAAAATTCTGAGATTTTTAGGAACTGTGTACTCACAGGTGAGATCTTGATTGCTCTTCTTTTGCTTCAATCATAAAACCCGCTGTGAATTTAGCAGGCTGTACAGGAGCACTTGCGTAACTGCATAACCAACAGCACATATTAGCTCAAATCTCTTAATGTGGGTGTCACTACACCAAAAGAATGTTGTATACAGAGGCAACAAAACCCAATTACAGAATCGCCCATTCCTCCCCCCACCCCCCTTTTTTTTCCACTTGAAGAGCTCGAGGCAAATTTATATGGATAAAATCAACATGTACTGAACGTGCATATGCTCAAATAAAATAGATATTCAATTTTTACCTGCTTCTGGGTTCGTTTTAAGACAGGAATCAAAATCAGGAGAAGGAATCATTGTTTTTACTGTTGTGCCCAAATTTAGTCCAAGGAGAACAGACCCTGAACTTACAGAGCACCAAATAGTTCTGAACACCACTGAACAATAAAAGTGATCATTAGCAACTTACTCAAAGACTGTGATGAAATGAAAAAACATAAACAAGGTATTAAAAACTAGGGAATTATTTAGTTACAGTATTGTGATTTCCAAGTCATTACATTTCAAAGGCAAAATCTTATAGTAACAAAACACATAACTAATATGTACTAAAATAAGGTTATTTACTTAAAAAATGATACATTGGACATAATCTGTGTACAGAACAAGCAATTCATGGTAAACTCAATAAGGCACCTTCTAAAGCAGATGCTGTACAAAATACATTAGTGTGTTACATTTTTTAAAGGAGTATTCTACACTTCTGGCATATAACACACACAAGAGTGTGACCATTTGTCTTGTTCCACTCTTCTTTCATATTTTATTTACATCTTCTCTAGGTTAACTACAATGTTATTTATTCTTCTTGTATACAATATAGTACATTTCATTTGGGGCATGGCATGTCAGAGCACAAATGTCACTACATGATGTGGGCTTCTACAGAGGCGTTCGAAGGTAAAGTATTACAAAGCAACAATTACATGAGTTTTGTTCAAAAATTACAAGTAGTATGCACTCCACTTCTGCTACACCAACCAAGGCTAATACACCATGGATCCATAAAGCACTGTGTTGTGCAGCACTGCCAGCTATTTTCTGGCATCACCACCATTGGAATTAAGATTGTGTGCACGGGATAACGACTTCAGACTTCAGAGGCACTGGCACAGAAGTATGAGGAAGTGCGAAATGGTTCTAGTATTTGACACTTCCCTTTCAAAACTATCTGCAATAGCCAAAGAATGCTTTTCACACATTTTTAGACCATTAACATACAGTCTGTGAAGACAGAGTGGATGAAATGTATCCAAGTGTTTTGTTTTATAAACACATCCAAACAGTCATTTACGTCAAGATCTGAAATTTACTTCTAGACTACTATGGAGGTAACAAAATATTAATTTTATATTTTATTCAGTGATTCAAAATAGAGTAATTAAGAACATAATTGGGAAAATTGATGGATACTGGAAAAACTGTCCTTTTCTTGAGTAAAACTCACGAAAAATTACATATTGAGTAAATCTCAGAATAAACCCAAAACGTAAGCCTACATTTTTCTGTAGGAATACCACTTCCTTTTCAGCTGCTTTAACAGTCAGAATTATATGAGTGACTCAAATTATTTTCCACCTGACTGAAATCACACGGAGCAGGTTGAATAAATAAAATAACCTTCTCCATATGTGAATGCATGTTTAAGAACTTCTAAGCCACAGCCTTGATACTCCCCAAGGTATTTTCCACACTTCTGACTTTTGGATTTAGAGAAAAAGGAAAACACATTTGGCAGCCTTGGGGGAGGTGGGGGGGGAATGACATGCTTAAAATTTTGACCAACAAAATGAGATTAATCACACTCCAACAGAAGAATCCTACTATCCTCCCTGACCTTAAAGGCTTCTGAACTCTACAGCTTTGCATAAAGCAAAAATTTAACTTTAGAATCTGCACTAAGTATGCTTAAGTATGTAAAAATTAATGGGCTGGCTTTGAGCAAAATTTGTTCCCCGCCCCCCCAAATGACTGCTGAAAAAGCAGTATAGACATACTTAGGCTCCAATGAATGATCTTGTAGGGAATGTAGATAGGTGCTCAAGTGCTTTATGCAACCAGGTCCTTCAGCAATAACATGTTTTGGAGTAACAGGGAATCACGGAACGCTAACGACCTAAGCAGCTGCTGTTCAGGACAATGAAAACTGCATATGCACAACATGCTTGAGTATGAACCTTGTAACTGAAGTGCTGAAAAAATAACATTAAGCTTAAGGCAAAAAGATTTTTTTTTTCCTCTCAAAGATCATCTTTGCAGCACTCAGCTCACTTCTGTGTTGAAGTGAATGTCTAAGCCAACCAGGGTCTTAAGATGTCTAGCAAAGATCACCATCCCATTGCCTTGCAAATGCCTAAACAATGGAGGAGAAAATAAGGCAGTAATTAAAAATTATAAAAATCAACTCTTCTGGCAATGGCTTCCTGAAGACTTGGAAAAAATGAATTAAAAATTTCAGAAAACAAGTTCACAGCTAATAATGCTGTGGCAACTTACAAAAGAAATTTTTAAATATTCTAAATAGGAATGGGCTAATTTAAATAGACCTCCATGCTCTGAAAGTTTAAGCTCTCATGGTACCTACATAATCATTTTTCCTTCTTGTCAATAAAAATCCTAGAAGGAAAAAAAAAGCTTATCCCTTACTTTTTTTGGCTCATACCAAATATTTTCCAACTACCTGTGCAAAAATTATGCGTGAAGACTTAACAATTTTGAACTCATTATATATTTCTTGGCAATGGACAGAAAAATGTTCTTTTAAAAAGCCCTTTATCATGAGGATTGTGGCACGGTATCATATATCTCTTGCTGCTTTCAAATAAGTTAAAATCATAGTTGACACACCTATGAAATTTTCAGCCAGAATACATATTAATACTTAAAGACATTACTGAACAAAAGTAATGACTTTATTAAAAAAAGTCCCTCGAAATAACTAGTTTTCTATAAAATACGTAGAACTGTTAAATAAAGTCTGTACATCACAACAGAAAATAAAAATACTGCAATCTTTTGCCTGACCATTTACATTATGTGAATTACAGAATTAAAAGAAAAAAAAAAAACCCAACAGGTTAGAAGGTTGTAATTGTTCACAAATCACCTTAGTTCTGCATTACACGGTTTTCTAACAGTTGTATTTCCAAGAGAAATTTAAACACATATCAAAACAATCTCCATGTGCATATTCTAAGACAAGAAAATAATCTGGCATAAATCATTTTAAGTTTTAACTTTTTTTCACAAATTTTAATATTACTCCTAATGTTTTCTTCAAATCTCGACTATGGTGTATGTCTGTGTGCACACTTATCTACTGTACACATGTACCTAGGACAAGGTGTTTTCACTAGAGCACAAAACACACCATATAAATAACTTCCCTTTTTAAAGTTATCTAGAACAAGATTTACAGTCCAAAGTCATAGGCACTTAAATTATCAAATAGGTTCAATGGTTCCAATACTGTGTGTTCATTCTTCAGATGATTCACGCATTTGAAGCTACAACTCGAGTTATGGTACAATTTTCTAACTTCAAAGTAGACGTGCCAAAGGAGTTAAAGTTACAGTAAGGCAGAATTACTGATCTATTATGGAGGGGTTCTGGTAGCCAACTTGTCTGGATCAGTGAAGAAAAGGAGGGAAGCAGAGTTTCCCGTGCATGCCAAATAGTTGGCACAATAGGACCAAATTTTGCAATTGTTAACCTACTTTATCTTCATTAATTAATCTTTCGATGCCATTCCTCCCGAGTGTGCCAAACTAGAACTTTAAACAATACCCACTCATTTACCTTGTTGCAAACCCTGAATTTTGTTACTGTCCACTAAGTGGCCCACAGATGTGAATTTACATCAGAGCATGACAGCTCAAAATCTTTTGCACGTTGTGGATCTTACCTCCAACAGCCCACAAATTCAGTTCTCCTGGTCTTGAACTTTCCTGTATTCTCTAATCTTCTGAGTGTCCAGCCTGCGTTTCCTGCCTTCCCTCTTTTGTGTCTGTAAATCAGGTTTGTTCTCAAGCCTTTCAAAACCTATCTTCTGCCTAGTTTTGCCACGTGATTAAAGAGCATGCTTCTACTGCTGATTCCCTCCTGTACGGAAAAAAGTTCAGAGCGTAACAGGCACCGACCTACCAGTGAGTCCCAGCAAAGTATAAAGGCAAAACACATCTTCCATGGTCTTTCTGCTAAGATGCAACATATTCTAAAGCAAAAAATGCTGGTTGCATGTGGCATTGTGAAAAATACGCCAAAGTTCATAGTCATCCAATTATGGAGCCCACCAGACTGTAAGTGAGATGACCAAGGCAGTCTATACCTTTAAGAGATGTTGTTTCAAGCTCTTTGCAGACTTTGGTAGGCCTTCCTTAATTTATTAATGCTTCAAATTTTTGCAGTTCTCCTTGTGACCAAAACAAAAATAGAAATAAAATTACAACTGAGATTTTGGAAGATAACCTTAAGGCAAGGAGTAAATTCTGCAGCAAATCTCTGATTGTGGAGCCACAAAATGCATGGAGCCCTGACCATAAAACTTCGTTCTTTCCAATGGTTTCTCATCTATTCCAAATGACAGCAAAATAATCCTGGCACACGCATAAAGGCATAAGGAACTGTTAAACTGCGTAGTATCACAAACAGACTCATAACCTACAGGCTGTTTCACAAAAACTTTGTATGGATTGACCAAGTTTTATCAGGTAGAAGGCAAAGAACAAAAAAAGCTTATATTCTCCATCTCTGTTGAATCCATATAGCTTGTTAGGCTTTCACAGAAAGCACTGTAATCTGAACATTCAATTCAGTACCCAGAGTTTTACTGGAGACTAAGTATGACTGAAGTCTCAATGCAGCTCAAACAAAACCAAAATGTGTATTTTTTTATCAAGGCTGTCCATATACGTAGCATGTAGTGTACAGAGGCTCTCAGTATCACAGTCTACGAAGTACTGAAAGATTTGATTAGCAGCCTGTAAAGTGTGCTGAGAAAATATACTGAATCTCAGTTATTTCCTCTTTCCACATAGGTCTCACCCACGTTTGAGTGAAAAGATCTAGGAGTTCAGCTTTGCTCTCCAATGTCAATTTACTATGTCAAATCTTTACATCTTGTGATTCCACCATCTTGGCAAGTGTCTTCTTGATCCTCAAGGCAGTGAGCCTTGAGGCAGGATTATGAGCCCAGCATTCAGACATTAATTTCAATATTGCTCTTAAACACTGTAAAATAAAACAAAGGAACAGTATTTAACAACTGACAGACCTGAGGTGCTTAATACTGGTTTGCTGTCAAGGCCAAATCATAGAACTTTTAAGTCCAAATGTGCAACTTCTACATTTCCTGCAAAACTGCCCACAGAGAACTATTTATAAACAGATCAACTAAACAAAATAAACAACATAACTAAACAAACTCCAACAACCACATCCCAATACTTCCCCATTACTGCCCAGTATTACAGCAGCTGGCTGCACTTTCACAAAGATGCATTACTTTATCATTACAACTCAAGAACAGCAGTACAAAAATGGTAGCAATAAGCAGAAATGTTTCTATATATGTGGCTTAAAAACTGTAGAGAACTTTTTCAATGAAAATGAAGATGTGACAAAAGTTCTTTCAGCAATCAAAAAATAATATGGAAAAAAACTGGGAATTCCTAAAAGAAATCAAGGATTTGAGGAAGAAGGGATATGGGCTATCTAGCTTCCTATGTAAAACAGTTACTTATTTACTGTGTTCAAACTGTGATCCTTTGAAAACACATTTATTAATAGTATTAGTTATAGTTATAGTTATATATAACTATAGTTATAGTTATACCATGACTTGCCCTGGAATGTACCAGTAAAATTTCTTTTGTATTCTTAATTTTTCAGAAAAAAAGAGGAAATCTACAAGCACAAAGAAATTGCTTCACATTGCAAGAAATACCTTATGCCACAAACCAACATGCTCTACACATTAAACTAACCAAACCAATTAAAAACTCTAAGTTTTAGCTCCAATCTACTGTATGAAAATATGGTCTCAGAGCCATATTCATACACTTGGATGCTGCTTAAGGGTATCTCCCCCTCAGATCACTGCGAAGATACCTAGAATACATGGTATTTTGAGTACATATCAAACAGATCTTTCTCCTATTGCTGCTGTGAGGTTTTCAAAATGTATGAATGTAATTCCTTTTTTACAGTATTTTAATATTTATGGAATTGATACACCCTCCATATTAATGAACCAACTGAACAATTTTTTCCTTTCAGCATACTCACTTCATCACTATTCCATCTGTTCGATACTACTGGGCGTAGGCGTTTGACACACACCACTTCTCTCATGTCCTCATAAGATGGATCACTTGGCACCATGTCATAATATGGCAACTGATACTCTTCAACAATACCTGGAGATAATTGTGAAAGACCAAAAACCATTAAAAAAATAAATCTAGATATTTCCTGTCAGATTTCCTTAGCCAGAGCTAAAACTGACTCAGTTTTGTGCCAAGTCAGAACCACCACACTGCTGTATGGTGATAAGAATCTGAAAATGTCACTATAACAATCCGACATCTACCAGAAAAGATCCAATATAATTACTATTAAGTTTAATAGCTAAGATAATTCCTTACAGTCCTTCTGACAGCCAATGTAGAATTTGAAATCTTCTGATCCACTACATGCTATAAAGAAACAGGGAGAAAGCATAAGATGGAAGATGAGAATAGAAATCCGTAAGGTCACAGAAGAAGAGTGAAAGAAAAGGAAGGATGAGTCACAAAAATAAGTGTAAGGAGAAAATTGAGTGACACCAGAAATGCAAGAAAGTACAACAAAAGAACAATACCCTATCAATTGCATATTAAAAATGAACAGCAGCACAGGGATGAAATACATCTGCATCCCACTGTTTCTCCCAGACCAGGCATTCTGCTTTTTGAGCAAGGAAAAAGAGCCTGAGATGCTTAACTGTAACAATCCAAAAGGTTTAGTTCAATAATTATCAAGCCATACTCTGGACAGACTGTTACGACTGTTGTTACAGAATGCAAGCCTGTTGACACAGCAGGCTCGTTCTATTATTTTCTGGAGAAGTATTGTTTAAGTGAGACAAGGGCCTGGTAGATATTATAAAGAATATTTAAAAGTTTACCTCCTGTGACGCAGCGCCGAGCCATTTCCCAAATGATTAGCCCAAAACTGTAGATGTCAGCCATGATGTACGGCTGGAAATGGTTTTTATTCAGGCTTTCATCTAGGACCTCTGGAGCCATGTAACGTTTTGTTCCCACTCTGGTATTCAAGGGAACATCGACTTCGTTTGTGTCACTGTATGAAAATAATAGAAAGTTAGTGAATTGCAGTCATTACAAGGCATGGTATGAAATCCTGTATGATGCAACGGCTACACTGCAAAGCTGCCATTTACAAATTCTTTGTTTTCTTTCGCTCTCAACACTGCACTTACAGAACACTGCACCTCCCTCGAAAAGATTATCTAGAAAAATGATATGAGTATGGAAGCTGACAATTTACTGCTTCTTTAACATGACACTGAAAACACACACCAAAAAAACGAATTAAAAACAATTGTAAGGATGAGTATATTTGGTAACAACTCAGAAAATTATTTGCAAAGGCTTATCTTTCTTTCAAGCTTTACTGTAGGAAAAGACAATTCTCTGGCTCCACTGAGCTTAAAAAAAATAGGGAAAAGTAACTGTTATAGTACTACTTTTTCAATTAAGTTTCAACTCTCTTTACACTTTTCAGACTTTGAGATGATTTATAATGAAACTACATGCTAGCAACTAATACGAAAGCCCAGTTGTTAATAACAAATGAATTACTCTCCTCTCCCTTTCCTCTACAAAACTACTGTATTTTCCACAAGAAGAGTATTTCCACTGTTCTCTTAACAACCTATTTTCACCTCAGTGCTTACCAGCATCCAAAGGAAGAGCAACATTTTATTCTCAAACCTGTAAAAAACTGAAAGCATGCAATCAAGTGACTCCATCTTCCTTTTACATTGGACATCTGGGGCAGAAAAAAAACTACAAAAAAGTTTTCCCATTGCAGAGAATTGTTCATCTACCTGTTAAACTTGACTGCCAGACCCAAGTCAGCAATGCAGCAGGTTCCATTTTTCTTTATCAAGATGTTTTTACTCTTCAGGTCCCTGTGTGCAATAGCAGGCTTGCCTTGTGTCCCATAAATCTCTGTGTGCAGATGGCACAGACCACATGCAGCAGAATACGCCAGTTTGAGGAGAGCCCTGTTGTCTAGCGTAGTGCATTTCAGGAAATCATACAATGATCCATTTTCATGATAATCTGTAATCAAGTAAAGCTGTGTCCAGGAGCCAGTGCCTTTAATATCTGCAGCTATGAAACCTATGGAATATATAAACAAAGTTACAGTTTATTTGTACATACATTTTTTATGCAACAGAACTAGGAAGAATTCCTAAAGCTATATTGTCTTGGACTGTATCAAAAAGATACCCATTTCCCTTAAGAAAACTAATAATGTAAAAGCTCAGATTTCAACTATACATTAAGTTACCATTCCAGTCTTCCAGCAGACAGACTGCAGACATGTTACCAACCAAGAGCAGCATGATCCTACCCTTTTAATAACATTTTATTAGCCTCCATTAAGGGACACCCATCTGGTTATTCCACATAAGCGGCCATATAGCCCTCAAGCCACCCACTATGAATGTCTCCTCCTTCAGCCTCATACAAGTCCTCCAGTAGCCAACCAGCGTACTGCTTCCTTACCAAGGATGTTTTCATGACGCATTAAAACAGTTTGGTAAATCTCTGTTTCTCGGAACCAACTGGCTTCTTCTGTGGTGAAAAACACTTTCACTGCAACTTTTTCACCCCTCCATTTGCCCATCCACACTTCACCATATCGTCCTTTTCCAACCTGCCTCACCATCTGAATTTGTTTGGCAATGGTGCGCTGAACCTAGGGACAAAAAGAAAAAAAAGAGAAGGTGGTGGAGGAGGGAAATCCAGCAATTAACCAGAAGTACCTGGACAAGCTGTTTCTCAGGCTTGGACTGCTTTGAATTTTGATCCCATTCTAGAATTTGTTCTATATTACTTTTGACTACTCCCATTTCAAACTCATTGTACCTACCTCCAAGGAAGAATTGTATTGCAAACGCAAAGATTAAATCAGCTCAGCTTCTTATTTAATCCAGATGCATTTCTCTTGCATTCTGTTTGTTTCTAGTTCACAAATAATTACAGTCATCCATCTCACTAGCTAATTTTAATGCAAGTACTGTATAAGATGGTAAATAAAAAGTTATGAACCATCAGCCAATAAAAAGCAAGTCTGTTTTATTGGACAGTGGACACAAGAAAAAATATCTGAGTTCATTCAATTCAATAACTGTATTATCCATCCATTGCATTGTTATCTTAATGTCTGCAGGCTCTAATTTTTCCTTAAATTTTGCTGATGCCAACATATTTCCTAACATATAATCTAATTTTGCACTCCATACTACTTTTGTACACGTTTAGTTTGTGCTGTATCTTTCACAGTAATTGCATATAAAATAATTAACATACTGTATGGACAAACTGCTTTGTTATGGGCATTAGGTACAAACCAAACTGTGGAGATGATAGAGAAAAGTGCAGTGAAGAAAAAAAAATCTTTGTTTATTATTTACCAACAATGGAAGTCCTGATCCACTCCCAGAACTCTGTGACTGGTCAATAAGGTCTTTTAATGACTCCCCAGCTGGAATAAATGCTTCATCTTGTTCCAGGTCACGATTATAACAGTGCCTCTTTGCCATCGACTTACAGTAATGCCTGCAGAATAACAAGAGAAGTTAAGATGAACTCCAAAACACTCTTCAAAATAAGTAGTAAATTGAGCTAGGAAAAAAGCTATTTAAATGTACAAGTTTTCTTGAAAGAAAGGATTTCACTGTACCACTTTTCTCAGAAACGCAACTTACAGAGTTTTTTAATATCAGAAGTTGTTGTAATGCATGTAGACGAAGGTGGGTCTGTTATGAGTCAGGTGGAAAACCAGTATTTTTAATACTCAGCTCACAGCCAGTGTTACTAGCATAACACCGCTGGTTTTGGTTTAAACTAACAGGCTGAACCTTGAACCATGGCAGATGAGGCTGACACAGGCACATTTCCGCTGAAGCTGCTAGAAGAATGATCACCTCCAGCACAGGGCTGGAGCTGACAGACCCAGGCATAGTCTCTTAAACTGCACCTGCATAAATTGCCACAGCTCAGCTGTCAATTATTTAGTTCTGAAACACAAGAGAAAAGTTATAAAACTTTCATCTAATTATTTATTTATTATTGCTGCTTCAGGTTTGCAAAAGCACTTTACAGAGGTAAATCTCAGAAGTAGACAGAATTTAACTATCAAAAGAGACTGAAGATCCAAAACCATAAAAAGCACTAAGTTATTCCTGTTTACTGGGTGCTCTAGCATCGAAGCTAAATGTAGCTTAGAAAACTATCACCTCTTTGTAGCCAGAGGAAAGGATCAAATACACTGAAATTCTATGCTGTGAACGTTTCATTTTTCCTAGCAATGTGAACTGCTATCCACAGAAACATGCAAGTAAGTTACAGAGGTTTCACATTCCATCTCTTCTTAAATAGGTATGATTAACAGAGTACATATACAAAATAACTGTTCTGTTTCACTCATTTGGGAAAATAAAAACATTACCAATGAAGCAATGCTTTACTTACTTGTAGCAAAAGCAGCTAAATAAGATGATCATGACAATTATGCAGACTGCCATAGAAATCAACACTGCCATCCAACGGATGCTGCCATCAAAAAGTCCATCTATTAAAAAAAGAAAAAAAGCAAAGTTTCCAAAGTCTATTAATTGAACATCTATTATAAACAGTTTATTTAGGTATGGTATATACAACGTATATGAACGTGCACAAAATAACCCACGGGTTTCATCTGAGTATCACGCAATACTCCTTTATTGTGAGGGTGATCAAGTGCTGGCACAGGGTGCCAAAGGAGCAGACTGGACATGGTCCTGTGTAACCGGCTCTAGGTGGTCCTCATGGACTGGATGATCTCCAGAGGTCCTGTCCAGCCCTCAACCAGTCTGATTCTGTGACAGTGTGTGGAGCCACTTGCAAAACGTCAAAGGAGCAAGACAGCTGATGAGTATAATATGTCGGTTCATGTGAAATGACACAAAACTTATAGTGTTTAATATCAAAGTAAGTACACTGGAAAAGCAAAGATGATTTGATTTGGATGACAACAACAAAAAAAGGATTTAATTCGAGATTTTGGAGTTGTTGGTTTTGGTTGACTCTTGTTAGTTTGTTCTTAGAAACAGAAATGAAGGATTTACTGCAGTTAGGATTCTGCGAACGTATTAAGCAACAGTTAAACCACTACAACTTGTCTAACAATGCGTAAGTGCATGAAACTATAAGCTATTTTCACTGGGAACAACAGAAAGAAGAGAAGGAATTTACAGCAGATAACAGTCAACAGTGTCAGAATATTTTTTTTTAAAGATATATTCATCAGGGCAACAGCACAACAAAGGTTGAGAAAACCATTTTAAAAAGAGAATAAGCTGTGGAAACAGAATAAAAACAGATTAAAAGATCACAAGCAGAATAAGGTATGAGCAAACTGAGTAAGAGAATAAAAATACCAGGAGTGACTGATGGAGGAAAAGATTAACTTGGAAGTGGCAGAAAAAGAAAACTGGAAATAACGTATGAAAAGTAATGCAGAGCTTCATATCAAAATTACTTCATACATAAAACAGATCTGTGCAATACTGTAATTACATTTTCTCCTCATTTTTATCTGTAGATCAGGAAGAAGAGAATCCACACCACATTTATTAGTTGCAGTGTGAACCTCCACGATCTGTTTACCTGTACTATCAAGTGGTGGTAATGTTGGCTGTAAATCCTGATTGCAGAAATCAGTCCGACAGCACTCAATTGTTCGACGTAATTGTGCTTTAGGTGAATCCTGGTGAAGGAGAATTGAATAAACATTCAGATTTTGAAGTGATGATGGGGACAGGTGATGCCACTGATACAACACAGCACAGACAAAAGTTTAACGTATTTTATTTAAAAAAAAAAAACAGTTCAACCCCACCATTTAATGTATGAGAACCCCACAGTGGCAGACAAGCACCAATCACCTAATCTCTTGGGATGCATACATTCTATGTTACCATTTTTTCATGGAACTTTTTTACTTGGTGCACAGAAATAGATGGTTCCCACTTCAGTTATTTCATACGCTGTAAAATGTTTACACGTGGTCAAAAGCAGTTAACTGTACACTAAATAAATACCACTCTTAAAAAAAACCCAAATCCCTTTAGAAATTTTTCTTATGCACTCATCATAGCAGCACTGTTTGCCTCAAAAACATCTTCAGAATACCATATAAAAGATGGAGGGGCATGAAAATTAATCTGAAGTCAAGACAAGAATATAAATACAAGAAAAAATTTCAGGTCATCACGACACCTCCAGTCTGATTTGCAGTAACCCCAAACAGTCACAGCGGTAACTGACGTCAATCAACAGTGCTTCCAAAAAGCCGTGCTACTGACAGCTACATTATACAGAAACTCAAGGCCTAGAGATTCTAAATCAAGTATCCGAAACAGTGATAGCATTTTGGGGGGAGAGAGGTGGGGGAAGCAACCCAGCTGGTGATTATCTCTGAAAGCTTTGTTTAACGGAAGTAATGTGACAAAAGAAAAAGCAAATCAGTCTTCCAAGGCAATATTCATTAGCCCAGCTAGTGCTATACCTGTGTCTTCTAAACAAATCCTTGATTTATTAACTGTGTTTTCAGTTCCAACCTTTGTAACAGATAAGGAAGTTCTAAAGGCAGCAGCCTGCTTAACTATTTGCCTTTAAATGAAAAGCAAGTTATACTCATGCAATTAATGACACACAGCCATTCTAGAAAGGAAAAATGTTCTATGTGGGACAGGAAACCACATACATTTTATAAATTGTACATATGCCATGAAACTTTAAGGGAGCTCTTGTGTGATCTGTGAAGATAACTCCTTATGATTATGCTCTTCCATCCAATAATTTGGAATTTCTTGTTTTCTTCAGTTTAAAACAATCAAGAAATTCTGCATTAAAACATCAACTACTCAGATAAATTAGGTTGACTATAATGTTGTCTCTTCAACTGCAGAAACAGGTGACAGAAGTAAAAGGTTGATGCCCTCTTCATTTTGTCAGTGGCTTTCAGATACTTGCAGAGAACTCCAGCAGGCTAGGATTCGATTCCAGTCTTTGCGCAAAGACCATTAAGTGTCCTTCCTGTCACTACTCACCCACAACTGCTCAGGTCCACTCTCCTCAGCGACAAACAGCAACATGTAGAATTCTATGACTGCAGTTATAAAGTACAGATTTAAACTGCCTATGCTGTTTCCCCACATAATCTCCACGGAGATCTTAAATTTTAACATCTCAATTTTTTTACCTTGCACTGGAAGTCTGAACCTTCATACTTCATGCAGCCAGAAGCAAGTGTGGGTTCTCCATGTTCATCTTCCTCAATGATAGCAAAGCAGTGCCCATTAGTTCTGGAATGAACACATCAATTGCACTTTACCAACATGTTTGTTGCTTAATACGCATCATTAGATGACCACAAACCCATTAAGAATACTAGAATGGCATTATCTAACCAAATTCTTCTTTAACACAGTGGTTACCATACAGTCTGAGAACAAAACACCCCTGCGGTATTTTCAAATAGAACACTGTAGGGATGTTTTCTCCTGAATATTCTGTCTTCCTCACCGCACCTTCACAATTGCTCATATCCAACCACACGCCCACAGCTGGTCAGAAACAACCGACGGGGTGGAAGATCAGAGATGTGACTAAAGAAGTTTACTGACTAGGACTGTATAGGGTAAAACTAAACGAAAATTCAGTTGTGTCTGCTCTTGAAACTGCAATGATAAACTCTGAGATGTCCCAGTATGTGAAAGGTGGCTATTTCAAGGTCAAAACCTTAGCTACACTTTTCCCACATAAGTTCTTTCAAATATTCAGCCTCTAGGGCAAAACAAACAAACAAACCTCCAAACCCACTTTCTGAAGTTGACAGCAACAAACAGATTATTATTCTACAAAATATGGCACTTCAGTTCCCCATCATCTCTTCGTACAAACGCTTAGATTTCTATATTACATGAAAATATCAACAGCATTTGTAAGGAATCCCAAAACAATTCACAATGGTAAGTCTGTGCTTTCAGTACTGTAAAATTATTAAGTAATTAAAAATTAATTCATTCCCTCAAGACATATACTAAGGAAAACAAATCTGGAAATAATTTTGTCTGCCATTTTTTTTTTATTTAAATGAATTTAGAGATATGTAAATTTGGGGAACATAATGCCATAAAATACCCTGCATATGAACACTGCATGAGTGTTATTAACCCTCTAACAGCTTTATTATCAGAATAATGACCGATACAGCCATTAGTTCAGAGGCAAAAAAAATAGTACGGCCTATGCTGGGTGCATGCACTAGAGGGCGATAAAAAGCAAAAAATAAATACCAAAGGATTTGAAAGAAAATACTGGACCACAACGGAACATTTTCTAGGTTCAAAACTGTTTGTAAAATAATACCTGAATTTACATTTTAAAAGATAGTAGTGTTTATTCCACCTCCTTGGGCTTCACAAAAACTGCTCTATCTGCCAAATGACAGCTTTGGAGAGGCTTAATATTACATGTTAAAAGTATATTAATTCTTATTGAAGTTCAGAGGCTTTTCTCCTTCCCTCACACTCTACAACTAACGAATGTGTAACAAGAATAATGCTCAGTAAATGGCTATGTTGCTAACATTACCTGTTGACTACTCAGTGAAAATATGTTAAGCAAGCAGGTAGTCCTATCAGAGGCGTTAGATTTGGGTCATTTAATACTCAGTTACAAAATGCTACAGATTACTTAAAACTTCAGTCCTTCAAAGCAGTTGCTGGGGGCAAAATGACTGGTTGCATGTGGTTCTAGGGTATTGGGAAAGCAGTATTCTTTACATACAGATGACTGTGGGTTTTAGTTCTCAGCTCTCCACAGAACCAGAGAGTTTCTAATCAATTATGGTGAAGAACCTCAGTCAGCACTCCAGTGATAGTTCGTTCTCTCACGAGAAAAAAAATTAAGCCTCTTCTATCCTGTACACCATACTTACATGCACGTGTTATTAATAGCATCATCTGGACAATGTCCTGAGCAGTAGCACTTAAGAAAAGGTAAGGTGTCCTCTGGAGCGAGTGTTACTCCATTTGCTTGTTTCTTTTGGTCAGGATTTGTCTTCATTCCTGTGCCACGCAGCATGCTGTCTGGATTTTGACCCGGATATTTAAAAAAGGAAGTAAATAAATAAATAAATAAATTTAAAGAGGAAAAAAAAAGAGAGACTATTTTTGCATCTCTGATAACTGTTCAAGAGCTTTACAGACAAAACAGTAAAATAATTATATTAACAAATTACTGAATTATACAAGACATAAGAACCTCCTCTCCCATGATTATGGCAGAAATCTGAGTGAATAATTTTATTCTAGAAACACTTAGCTGAAATATTTTGTATCTTAACAGTAGATCTTCCAACCATAATCTCTATAAACAGAGAGAGCATATTTTCCCTTTCTGAGGTGTGGCAGAAAAGTAGTAATGTAACTGCTAAGAATTTTCTTAAGAAAGACTTTCTCATTCATGAGTTTACAAAACCAAAATGCTGACCGCTTGATAACCACAACAGTATAATTTTATGCATGACTGAATGTACTTAATATGCAGTTTTCTAATTTTCTGAACTGAAGTCATATTTTATGGATTCACCATACAAGAGCAGTAAACTCCAAAATCTCTTGGGTGTTTTGATCTCTGTATGCATTGGTACTTCAAAACAGAGCTGAAGTAAATCTTGTTTGCAAATTAAATTTCAGTAAATAACACGAACATCCATACAAACAAGCTTTCAGAGAATGAAAACAGGGCTAAATTATGTTCCAAGCAGCCCTCAATTTCTCAGCAGTGGGAGAGTTGAGGATCATTTGTTCTAGTACATATTATTAAAGTGCTTTCATGAATATAGGCATTCAGAAGAAAAATTCCGTCCGTTGTCTTCTTAGTGAAGAATATCCAGGGAAAAAAAAGAAAATTAGGAAAATTATCTGCCTCATTTGGAAGATGCTTTGTGACCACTATATGAGATGAGAACACCCTCATTCATCTTTCCTCCTTCTTTATCATACTTAATTTTACCAGCAGAAAATCTGCTTCCATCCATCACCTAACATCGTTCTTAGCTCTAAGATCTCACGGTGTGAGCCAAGTAACGCCAGAAGAGTTGTGAACAGACTATCACCTTCACTGGCACAATTTACAGTGTGTCTCTGTGGGAGGCTCAGTATGCAAGACAAGAGAAGAGCCCGTTAGGACCAGTAGAAGCTTTTACAAATCCAGTTACAATTAAAACAGTGGAGGTACCTCAGCACCTCTCAAGAACATCTTAGTCACAATAAAATTTTCAATGTATCTAAGGATAGAAAAAAATTTTTTGATCAGGAAAAGTCAGTGTCTCTCTGAACAGATTCTTGTTGCTTCCTGTCAAACCCACCAAACACTAGCTGTAGAGTAATGAGAACATTACTTTTCCGTTGTACCTTGCTTGAAAGATGTGCAGGAAATCTCAATTAAAACCCTGTGCAGATTATCACTCTCTGTATCACTACAGTCACTTGCACTGTATCATTCAGCCAAATGTGCTGTTAAGTATTTGTGAAAATTGATCTCTTGTTCTGAAAAAAGCAGACTTGCAGATTTCCTTATCTAATTAATACAGCACAGCTAGAACATTGTCCCCATTAAGCGATTTCCCCGCAAGCAATGAAACTCTGCCTTTTTCAGATACAATTAAGAGTATATCCTAAGAAAGTACAACACCATTTACCTAAACCCTTAAATCACATTGCTATGGTTTATTTGAAATGTGGTTTTCAAGCAGTACTTGAGTAACGACCGAGTGAAATATTCCTGACATGCAGATTGTTAACAAGAAAGCAGGTCCAGTGCCAGCATAACAGAGTTTACCTAGGCAATAGGTATTTCCAATTAAACCAAAAGAAATTTTGCGTGTATGAAACGGCAGCTCCTCCATCTCTCCTTTCTCTTTCTACAGATTCCTTCCCAGTATAAACCAACAGCTCATTTTAATACTGTGCTACAGATGTTACACAACATTCTGTATTCATATTTAAGAGATCCTTACCTGCTCACAGAACAAGTAATTCTACTTAATATTTAAAGGAAAAGCCACTGCATATGTACAAATACTGCCTTTCCTTTTAATTTGGTGAACTACTAAAGTATCTTTCCTAATTAATGTTATAAAACAACCTTTATCTTCAGGGACATTCCACAAGTTAAAAGTCTGAATATTTCATGATCTATGTCTTACAGTCACTCATCCATCTTCTTACCCTAAGCACTGAAAGCAGCCTTTTTTCAACTAGAAGAGAAATCAAGGAACCCTTAAAGCATAGCTTCTCCTAGCTCAGAAGAGAAGGAACAACATTTTTATGCAGGTCTGGGATCTTTTAAAGCAGTATTATTCTTTGTAAACTAACACGGAAACGTAACTACAGGTATACCAAGCTTTGATACTAAAACTGAGATGAAATACACTTATTATGATGGGCTGTATAACAAGACTTATGAAGAACACATACCAAATAAAATCCAAGTAGAATGCTGTATTATAAAAGAACCAGCATCGTCGTCTTCTGTACTGTTTATACAGACATAGATTTTTATTCAATGCAAAACCAGACTAGAATTTTATTACCTTCGTCATGTGAAAGAGAAACAGTATTCCGTGGTAGCCTGTTTTCATCTCACTACTGATACCTGAATCGCACAATAACTGGGGGAAGGGGAGGGAAACCACTTCACTCTTGGATTTTTATGTTCTAAAGAGAACTCTCATTAAACAGGAGTTTAATTGAGTATCCAGGGAAGGAAGAAAAACAGAAAGTATTGAGACTGGGATTACTTCAGAGAAATGTTTTTAACAGCCCCTATCTAGACATAATCCCTAACTGTATCCTTTAACCGTAGCATTACAATTCATCCTCAGCATTTCAAGAAAGATTATTGTCTGTCTTAAGGATGCTCGATATGGGGAAGGGAGTTGACTGTGTAAAATGAGTTGGCTCCCATTCACCTGAGATGTTAAGAGGACAGATCAAGGTCTGAATGGGGTCATAGGATGTTTTATTGCTGGTTTTCTTGGTTAACAGATACTGGGTAAACACAGAAGGGTGAATGAAGGATATATCTCTTGCGTCAGGAAACACCGGCACCTGTGCTTTCATTTTCCCCATCCTCAGAGCTCTACCTCAAACATTCACACTGCTTTATCTTCCTTCTTGAGGCAGGACAGAGAATGGGAGGATCATGTTTTAGGGACCTTGTGACACTACACTAATTGATGATGTAATTAATGTCTTGTTTTCCATGACACATGCAGTTGTCAGCTCTGCGGTGCAGCTAAGAAACACACATACACAAATCTTACGTAACCATCAAAGGTGTAAGGGCTATGCATTATTACACACAGCTTCAAAAGAAAAAGGTTTGTACTGAAATACAGTACCCAGAGATTTCAGGCACAGCAAAGCTTCTTCCTCCATTATTTCCTATCATCTACCTGGCAACTACACAGGGCTGGTGAGGCAACACCTTACAGCACCTGAAGCGAATGAACTGTCACACACTGGAGACTTGTTCGAGATCCTGGACCTGTTTCAGCCTGTTTTTCCAGCCTTGAGAATGATAGTATCACATACCTTTAAAACATGCAAACTGCTCTATAATGTATACATTCCCACATTTCAAAAACTGACAATATTGAATAAAATATCAGAGTGATGGTGAGCTGAAGCATGTCCCTCTTCTCATGTATCCACAGTGTAAGACAACAAAGAGAAATAAGCTGATGGGGCCTCAAGCCAGCAGTTTGTCATCTGCTCCGTCCCATCACAACACTGTCTCATACATACTGCATTAATGGTAGATTTCTAAAAGTGTGAACAACTGCTACAGATAAGAAGACATTTAAATGTCTTGCTGTTTAGAATTCAACTTTTTAATAATAAAGAACAATGCCTGCCAATGTATCATATCCAGGCATTGACTGAATATATAAATTTTTCAAAGAACTACTACTTCTAATCACAGAAGACAAGTTAGACTGTAAAATCTATTTTACAGAAGCACAGTATATTAAAAATCCCACTAAGTTTGAAATGTAAGTCTACTTGAAAGCATGGCTTTAGATACCAATATTAATACAGATAATCTTTAAAAGGTACCGTGCGTGACAGTGAAGTGTTATTAACCACAAAAAGCTGAGCTAACTTGGATGCAACTCAATGCCAGGATACATATATAATTTCATTAAGTCTTCTGATCTAAAAAAAGATTTGTACAACCCATAAACCCCCTCCCAGTTCTATTAAGAAATGCAGAGACACAGAGCAGTCAGTGAAAGAAGACAAACATAAAAGCCAAATTATGCCTATAGTTTCTTACTTTATTGTATCCCCCCTACCTCTACCAACAGTTAGTGCTAGAACTAGCAGCCTACAGCACTCAAGTTGCTCAATAGCTTTCTGAATTCAGAATATAGATGTCCCACATAAAAACATTTTTATTCCAGAGTACATTATCCTTAAAAGGGATTTATCCTAGCAGAACTACTGAACTCTCCGCATTTTTTTGTGGCTATTCTAATCCAAGTTTGTACACCCCAATAAATTCAGTATTTAAATAATCTTTGTCAGGAGACCACCTTCACCTGCCTTGCTGCTGGTGCTAAAGTCACTCGCTGAGGCTAGCTGACCCTCAGGGCTCCCCCCCCTGCACTCTTCCCATAAAAGATGAGAGTTGTATATT